TAGGTAAACAATTTGGATTGTGCGCAAACGAGTTGCACCGAGTTTGTCGTATTCCACCTATGGTGGATTAATATAATCAATTAGTACAAAATCCTAACCTCACCTAACCGTAGTACCGTACTAATATCAGATGAATAAAAAAAAACCAAATTTAACCATTTTTAAATTAGCCTGTCTTCTTCCCAGAGGTCTAATAATCTACTATCTACACACAAACATTAATTTATATAAAAATAATAATACAAATCAACAAACATACCCGATTAACTAAGAGTAACCAATATATAATACACTGTTGAGCCACTGTTGTATTTTTTACATCCAGATTTCCTACTTTTCCGGTGAATTTTCCTATAATGTTCTTTCATAAAAACCTTCTCCTAGCAATTACGAACAAATTTGAACCAAATCGGACCAGCCGTTCTCGATTGATGAGGTACCGACAATTTTTCAAGCTCCATTTATATATATGTATATATTAGATTACCTACCTATTAATTTATAATTTTTATTTTATATTTTTATATGTATAATATAAAATATGTTCACAATTATAATTATTATTATACATAATATATTGTTAATAGCCGAATGGCGTTTATACCTAAAGACTAAAAATAGAAAAAAGTAAACACAAATTTATAATGAATGGTAAAGTAAACGTAAGGTAGCACCTACTAAGTCAGCGGTTCTTAAACTGTAGTACACGGTGGCTCTATCTTAAAATAAGATATTACATTTTTATTAAAAATTATGTGTAATAAAAATAATTATAAATGTGTACGCTCGTGTCTATTTAATAAGGGGCAATATTTAGGCAATATACAACCTCGTCTCCACCGCCAGAGGCCTTTGTGTTCGTCTTAAATGATAATAATTAGTATGAGTGTGGTACTGTGGTCTGTGGTATAAGAACAATACAGTTATCGGATTAACCATGACAAATTTATTTAAATTGCAAATACATTTATTTTGTCATGGGATTAACTACGCACACACAAAATCCACAACATAGATAATATATTATCACATAATATATAATATTATCTATGGTCAACAGGCAACAGCCGCGCAAACCAAAAATGAAAAGCGGGATTTATGCAAAAAAACACTTTACAGAAAAAACTCTTATTCGTATATTGATATTGAATGATTCTTGATTAAGTTGCTTAAAATAAAAATAATAAAAATTACAAAACTTGTAAAAATTAGTTTTATTAAAAAATATCGTATAAATGGATTAGAAATAAAATGTTTTAAACTAAAGTCCAATGCGCCCAGTTTCAAAATAAATTTAAAAAAATATTTATTTTATTTTTCAACAATACGGATTGAGCACAATTACACACAAATATAAACAATAACATATTATAAATGTATAACTTACAACATATATAATATATACAACAATAAATAAATATATATAAAATACCTAATATAGCCCCATATGTACCTATGTCCTATCATTCTAAAGATTGGCTGGTTGTCAAAATAATTGGTGTTGCACTTAGGTGTAACAAATGGATACACGTGATGAACAGAAGTGGGAGGGACTTTGAAGTTAATCAAAGAAAGTAGAACAGGAGAGTTGACACATCTATTTAATAGTAGGCAACTTGCTTCCTATCAGCTAAGGAACTTAAATCGAGCTTGTGCATAACTAGATAATAGTCATGAGGAGGATGGTCAATATTTAAAATAAAAGCTGCATACTTAAGGAATTTGAGTCGAACCCTTTCAATTTGCTCACTCCCACACAGTGGCGTAATTTGGTCATGGTTGTGGGGGGGGATGAAATGTATGTACATTTCACCAATTACCTCCCCCCCTCAACATTTTTTTTTTTTTTAATCGTATAAGGCATAAGCTATAAGCAATAAGCACCCCTCAATACAAGAATACAACCATTATGATCTGTATGTAATAACTAGTAGCCGGAATTATATTCTTTTGCATATTTTTTTTGAGTCTATGCAGTCAGACGGGGGGTTTGAAATCTTTACAAATCATGAAACAGGTGAGTTAATGGCAAAAGTTTATTTTGCATATTTGGGAATATTTCAAGATAAAAGAATATTTCGTATAATAAAAAATATTAGAGAATATATCGATTAATTTTTGTAGATGTTCGATATTTTTTGTTGCAGTGGCCTAAATAATATAAATACGAGTATAAATAGCACATATAAAAACATTTTAACCGACCGTTGTACAAATATGACATCAGGGAACATGGAACAAAATATAGTTGTCAACTGTTTTCAAAAATTTTCTTAGTTAAAAATTTAAAATAATTAAATATTAAATCAAACTTTTCTTAACAAGTAGTATTTTTTATTATGTAGGTACCTATTTATATCAGGTTTTTATATTATTTTGCATATTATGTACCTATTTATTTATATGAGTTCGTATTATTTGCTTAATTATTTTGCATATAAATGCATATTTTTAGTTCAAGAGAATATTTTAGTAAAAAAGCATTTTTTTTTGCATATTTTATTATTATTTTTAAAGAATATTGGAAGAATATTTTCAACTTTTTAAGAGAATATTAGCATCTTATTTTGGCTATTTTAAAAGAATATAATTCCGGCCCCTAGTAATGACTAATATTGTATAATATACAGTGTGATCACGATTTTAGGTACCACTGAATATCTCAGATGGCTGACTTTGTATTGAAATGGGGTTTTCGGGAGGTGATAGCCTCTCTTCCGATAGGAAGCACTTAAATACATATTTTCAGACCAGTTTAAAATTTTTAGCTCACTCGGTATGCGCATGCGCAATTTGACTTACTTTTTGTTAAATGGCAACCCCACTTTTTTTCTACAGATTCGGGTAGAGTATTTTTTTTTAAACATTTTTTGTATTGAAAGTTTTTCTATTTATAAAACTGACCAAGTTAGAGAAAGTCAAGTTTTGGATTTATTCATAATACGTGTTTAATGCAATTTGCATTTATAACCAGTTGAAATAATAAAATAAGTGCCAAATAAATGTTTGATTAGGGGGGGGGGGTGGCTGAGTGGACTAAGGCGTCGGTTGTGGCCGATTTCCGTCCGCCATTAAACATTTATTTGGCTCTTATTTTATTATTTCAACTGGTTATAAATGAAAATATCATTAAACACGAATTATGCATAAATGTTCAATAAATGTTCAAAAATAAATACTCTACCTGAATCTGCAGAAAAAACTGGGGTTGCCATTTAAAAAAAAGTAATATTGCGCATGCGGCATGCGCGTACCGAGTGAGCTAAAAATTTGAAACTGGTCTGAAAATATGTATTTAAGTGCTCCCTATCACCTCCCGAAAACCCCATTTCAATACAAAGTCATCCATCTGTGATATTCAGTGGTACCTAAAATCGTGATCACACTGTATATGATAATATTGATGGATGATTATATATTTGTATAATATTATGGAGATTCGGGTGATTTTTGTATTATCTATGAAATATACATTAATACAATTAGTACATAAATGTGTTTGACGATTAAAAAAAAAAAAAAAAAAATGGTCAAGGGGGGGATACGACACCCAAATCCCCCCCCGTAATTACGCCACTGCTCCCACAGTCCCACAAGTAATAAAACTATTAAAGAGATCCCATTCATCCGAAACAATAGCTCCGTATTTATTAGAAAAACAACAAAATAGGATTTTTAGCGCTCCCGGCGGATTATGCCCGCATTACAAACGCCGTAAAATGGACATTCCACCAAGATGCCACCCTGGACTCAACAATATCCTAATTAAAATTCAAAGATACACCGTTTTCCCTACATCTAAGATAATATATTATGTATATAAGATATATTAGTCCGTGATCTACATCGTACCCACGATTAAAGATATACAGCACAGATCTGTGTATACAGGTTACTTACTTAACGGCAAGGTTCCGGATAATAGTAATATCAGCTATAAACCTCGATTGAAGTACTCAACGGAGCATTTATTTTTATGCCCAGTGTTTATCTTCGGTTACGGCCTGTGAGAAAGGCATCTGCCATCTAGTGCCCTAGTGGAAATTAATGTAGTCAAACTATGTATAATATTAATTGTATGATATATATTTTTTTGATATTTTGATACATAATATATAATTACAATTAATAATTATATACAATGAGAGCTCTTCCTATTTTGACCGGTTCCTATTTTGGTGGTAACTGCCCATCACTATGGAGACCAATTTCTATACGCCGGTGAGTGGTGAGTAACCGGTTTATCATCTTAAACCGTGATCGTGCACATCGTGGTTCACAGGGTGTTTTAAATTGAGACAAGATAGTTCTGTACAGTGACGCCATCTCGTTAGAAGTGACGGCATCGCAAGAATTGCACAAAATATCAATTTGCTACCGCAGTAAGCACTAGTTTTGCGTTAAGACTTATAGTCTCTTTGGATAGTTGAGCGAGTGGTGGACTGGAGGATAAAATGGAAATATTTATTAGAAATAGTTTTCTATAGAACGTCTGAAACTCCGAGACCGAGATAACCTTACATACCATTAAAATACAACATGCACGATGGATTACGGATTGTATTTTTAATTTTTACAAACCTAGTTCTAATTTTAAACGTTTCAGGAAGCTATTTTAATACTTTCGTACAGGTATTTTCCTAACATTATTATAAATATTTATATTTTAAATGTCCAACAGTTCTAAATACAAGTTATTATATTACCTGCTGCTTGGTAGTTGGTATTCAAATGTTATTGACTATTGTTAGTACCAGCTACCAAACTGTACAGAACGTAAGGTTAATTTTTTACTGGACGTCAGGACACCATCACTATAATATTGTTATGCCCATTATATATTTTTGTTATCACAAAGCATTTTTATTTTTATTAAATTTATTAATGTTTGGTATTTACTATTTTTATATTTGAAGGTAAATTGCAATTGAAGGATTCTCCATTATCCGAACCCTGAAAATTACATTAAAATAACCAATTGTCATTATTAATCGTGCATCATGGGACGCAAGAAAATTAATATATCCAAAATCACTGACGAACGAAATCGTCATGTATGTATATTTATAATATTATAATTTCCACGATTTCTACATTATTTTTTTTATGTTAATTATTATCATATTTTATAGGTGACGTTTAACAAACGCAAATTTGGTGTTATGAAGAAAGCTTACGAGTTAAGCGTATTATGTGATTGTGAAGTAGCAATTATTATTTTCAACAAGAACAACAAGTTGTACCAGTATGCTAGTACAGACATGGACCAAGTATTACTTAAATATACTGAATATAGCGAACCACATGAATCACTGACAAACACTGATATTATTTCTGTAAAATCAAAATGAATTGTTCTTTTTTTAATTTATTAAATATTTATTAATTACATTTTAAAATTTTAGCAATTAAACAGGAGAGGAGGAGGAGGAGGAGAAGGTCCTAGAAGTTCTAAATCTGTAGATTCACCTGTTGTTGATGAGAAGAATGCAACAAATCAACCTAAACAATTTAAAGTAATGTCCACTCCTAGAATTAAACTCAAACACAACGATATTTCTGATGAAGAATTCAGAATACTTATGACACATGGAGGGAGGATAATGGATGTAAATATTTATAACTTGTAGTAAATATATTATAGCTTACATAATTTCAACTACTTTCTACTATTTATATATAGTAAATAATAAATATAACTTTTTTAATATTTGTATGAACATTTAAATTATCTAATTGTTATTCAATTTATTATAGGATGATGATGACGACGATGACGACGATGATGATGATAGTAATGGCCTTGAATGTGAGTATATTCCTGACATGCCAGACATTCCTGGCATTCCTCCTCACAAACTTCCAGAAGCTTTAAGAAAATTACGAGAGAGTAACTCTAATGAAAATACCAAACGAGTGACTTCCAGCGACTCGAGTATGAATCACTAATATATATTTTAAATGCAAATAAACTGACACAAGTATTAATAATTCATTTTTAGGTGATGACGAGTTGAAAATAGACAGTGGTGCTGATGATGATTTTGAAGAAATAGATGACAGTTTACATAATAATATCGAAAGCTATATTTCTCCAACTACCTCACGACAACAAACTCTGCCTATTAACCCAACAAGTATTATTATACATAATATTTCATAAAATAATTATAAGAATTAAATATGGAGAACAGCTATAATTTTTGAATTTGTGTTAAACATCTGGTCAAGGATGTCACATCATCAAACTTTTGAATACAGAAAGAAAAATGTTATCAATAGAGATAGTATGTTGATGATTAGGTATAAACTTATTTCATGCTTCATAGATTTTGAACATAATATAAATTGTATTTGGAATTTTTTTTGTTTTTCAACACATTTACTTTGTACAACGCTAATTGGTGTAATTTAACGTTGTTCACATAGCATGTTGAATGATGCCAATAAGAATGTAGGCAGTAGGCACCCTGTTATTCAATGCACTATAATTTGATCAGTGTTACGATTAAACTATTAGATGTTTGTCAGCGTCTCCTTTAAGAAATAATTTAAATTTTTAGGAATTTTTTTTTGAATACATAATTTTTTCAGCACAGGAAATAGTATATTCAAACACGTTATAATCATTTTTTGAAAAAAAAAAACACATTTTTTTTATTATATGTAGAGAATTTTTGTTCTGATTGGATTTATTTACTTCTTACCTACAAGTGCTCACATGTCATACGTTTGCTTTTACAGTTGTATTATGTTCATTTAGAAGCTTATTTGAGTTTATAAATCCAAAAAATATGATTAAATTGACAATAGGCATAGATGTATAGATCAGCGTATTGAATGTTAAGTATGATTTTTCTGTACATAGTATTAACTACTATACTCTATTCCAAATAAGTTTGGTAAAAATCTCAACGGAAACGCATGTACAGTCTCGTTGGCTGCCAATTACTGCAGCGAATCACGGAGGCCCTATCGTTCTGAGGCTGCACAGTTTTTCCATACTTATTTGGAATAGAGTATAGTCCAGGCATGATTAGTGTCGAAACACCAAACTACTTCATTGTTAGACACTTCAGGGAAACCGTACCTTAAAGGAAACAAATTACCATGAAACATCCAATTTTTGACCAATATTGTAGAAACTAGTTTGAAAATTATATTTTTTGATTTTTGTGCTGAAGATGACATATTATATAAGGTATGCACAATCTGAAACTGTATGGTGTCCAGTCTAAGGACATCTCAGTATCATTCATCTTCAACTCATAACTTTGAAAAATGAGGACCAGTATCATATTTCATAAAATATAAAAACAAATAATTTAAATACAACATATTTTGTATTATGTGGCCTTTTAACTTTATAATGATTACAATTTTAGCTGTTAATGAAATTAAAGAAGAAAAAAATGATGATGACGTTGATGAAGAATTAATGGAAGATGACATCAAAATTCCTGAGGAAGTGGAGAGCTCTAAAAGTCTAGAAGCTACAAAACCACAATTAACGCAAAATGTTCTGAAACCAGAATTTCTGACAACTATTCACTCAAGTATGGTACAGTAATGACATTTTATTAAAAACTAAAATTAATTTTATTTATTATTTAGGTTTAGGTTTATTTAAAAATAAATCACCTAAAAATCAACCTGTGAATAATGTACGGTACCGCCCTTATAATATTCTACAAACCTCAAAGAAAATGGTAAAAATACCACCACAAAAATCTATGGAAATTCAAAGTAACAGAACACACAATGGACAGTCTCCAATACAGCAACAAAGAGTTATTGAAGAATTCAAAGAACGTATACAGGTTAAAAAAGATTTGATGACTCCTGAAATTAAAATCAATACCGCACAATTGTCGCAAACTAGTAATACAAATGATTCTTAGAATTAAGTGTACATTTGAAAATTGAAACATTCCAAATATTTTTACTTTTATTTTATAATTTTTTTTTTTTTAAGACTGTACTTTCATAACAATTATTGGTATTCGTTTATATTTAATTATATATACTTATCATATAATACAATTTTAATATGTAGCAGTTCGAATCCTTTGTTCAAACTTCCTATTTATAAAAATGTAATCATTTTAATATTAACCTACAAATTGAACATGAGATATTATTTGGTTAAAATGCCAAATGTTTTTGTTTGGTCTAGATATTATTATGTGTTATTAAATAGTTTTAAGAACATATGTGTACCACTCTTGAAAACAAAATTATTAGTTGTATGTATTATTAAGTTTTAAACTGGTTTTTAGCTTTTGTTCCACAATTTTTACAATTGTCGTTTTTTGTATTATAAAAATGTATGTTATGTTTTAGTATTATTAATTATTTTCATTTAAAAATATTTTCACATTATTGTTTAAATATTTAGTTAAATGTCTGATTAATTAAATGTAACTTATGTCTATAAAATATGTTTATTTATTTTATCTTAAATTATATCGTAAACCACTTCCATAATAAAATTAATTTACAACAAATTTACTGTATATCGAAAAAAACGAAAATAAATTTAAAAAAGTGAGCTTGACTTGTGCATAGGCGTAGAATGGTTAGCCCCCTGTGTAAAAGTTTATTGTTTTATACATCTATATTATGTGAGAACTGAAAAAATTTTCTATTATTACAGCGAATAAAAACATGGCTTAGAAATTCTATAACTAACGATAGATTTTCAATGATGATATTCTTAAGGGGCTGTTAAGGGCTTGTTGTCTCCGTCTTATAAGTGTGTAACATACCAAATTGTACGTTCAGAAAATACGTTAATCTGCCGTTAGTTTAAAAATTAGAGCGAATTGACCTCTTATAAAATTTAAAGGTAAGATTATTATCTAGACAATGACTTAGGCTTCTTATTATATTTCAATTTTAAAGCGAGTTATGAGTATTTTAAGATGTACAAACAGCTAACAATTTATTACACATAAATACACATAACTCGCTTTAAAATTAAATTATATTAAAAAACCTATGTCATTGTCTAGATAATAATCTTACCTTTAAATTCTATAAGAGGTCAATTCGCTCTAATTTTTAAACTAACGGCAGATTAACGTATTTTCTGAGCGTACAATTTGGTATGTTACACACTTATAAGACGGAGACAACAAATGCCACTGTAACGTCCCCTTAAGAGGACGCTACACCCGCATATGTAGTCTCCGTCTTACACACGTACGACATAGACAAAACGCGTTTAGGCAGTCTGAGTATAACTCGCTCAATTTTGGTTCTAGAGTAAAAATACCTATTATAAAATTGAATTGTGATAATATTTCTAAGGGCAAGATGCTGCGGTTTTTTTAAAAAATTTAATTTTTTAAAAGTCAAAGGTATTTTAAAAATGGTGAAATTTTTTCTATTTCTAAACGATATAATGAACGTTATATTGGGTATAATGGAAAAACCGCAGCGTCTTGCCCTTAGAAATATTATCACAATTCAATTTTATAATAGGCATTTTTACTCTAGAACCAAAATTGAGCGAGTTATACTCAGACTGCCTAAACGCGTTTTGTCTATGTCGTACGTGTGTAAGACGGAGACAACACATGCGGGTGTAGCGTCCTCTTAATATATTTGTCAAAAAAAGTAGGCATTTAAACTTTAAACCTTTTACTAAAGTAATAATTTCCAATTTAAAATGTTTTATTTTTTTATTTAATTCAAATACAAATGTATTTGATAGTAATATGATGTATGGTAGTATATTATTTATCTATATTTTATTTTAAAATGTGCTTCTTTAGTCCTTTTTATTATGTTTTTCTTTAGTTATATTTATAGGTCGTAGGATATTATGTTCTGTATCCGAATCATTATAGCCTTTTAGCGAAGTAAAAAAATTTATCACGCTACGCCTATGGACATGTGGGTTTTGTTCAAGTGTTATAAATGTGTAACGAATAATGTGTGTGAGTATTTTATATTGTATAGTTAATAATGAACTATTTATTACATAGAAACTTAATGCTTAAGCATTAACTAAATTAATAAAATAATTAATTCAACACTTAAAAAAAACATTGAATATTGCATGACTACTTAAATAACACAGGTATCGTGGTGGTGGTGAAGCAATTTTTAGGTAAAAAGTTGTTAAAATCCTCTTACAATTATTATTTGCTATGCTTCCAGTATCTACAGCAAAGGTTATTTTCTACCTTTAGGAGATTAAAAAAATACATGTGCTCTAAAATGACTGAGTCTTGACTGAACAGCTTAACAGTTAGTTCTATTAAATATTCATTTAGATATTAACTTGGTCATCAATGAGTTTACTTGAAATTAGAAAAGAAGAATGCAATTAGAGGACTAATAAATTTAACTGCAAACTATTCAAATATCAATATAATATAGGTAGTATTCTTAAATAGTATAGTTAATAAAAATTAAAATATAATAAAATGTTTATTTAATCTTTAGTTACAATTATCAATTATGTATGTCAATTTATAATGATATTATGTTGAATTGTTTATGTAATACATCAATATACATGGACATTGCAAGACCGATTTTCCTAACCATTTAAACTCCAAATTATAAATTTTTTCCCCCTAATAATCAATAACTAATAAGTACCTTAGGACCATTATTAACAAACTAGCACACACCATAAAAAAATCCTAGATCCACCACTGAATTTTATGTATTTAAAATCATCTGAATAACATCTCTAAATCCAATAAATAACAGTTTAAAAAAATAGAAGCCATAGTCAAATCATTCAGTTTTTTAAATTTAGCATGAATTCTATATTATGTATATTTACTTTATTTTTTATTTTTACTCCAGTACTCATAGGTTATCATTTTCTGCTATGAGTTTATAAACTGTATACACAGTTTATATTTTGTTAAACAATAAAATAATAAACAACACTTTTGACAAACAAAACAAAAAAAATATATATTAAACATCATATAGGTATTGCACAAAATATTCTGTTGTTCAGGCACAAAATATAAACAATAAAATAAATTATAAAATGTACAGTGATGGTAAAATAAAAATACAATTACAGCTTCAAAACTAAAATTAGGGTTTTTAACTTAAAATAGTAATCACCAGATTAAGTCTTATATAGGAGATACTCTTTAAGAGCATTGGGTAATGGTAATTTTGATACGGATGCTGCTTTGATATTCTTCAGAATAGTCTCCCTGCAAGCACTCTGCAACGAATTAACTAAAAACACAAAAATAGTTTCATGATAATTACTTAGACAAAAATCAAAAGTTATTATACGGTTTACTAACATTTATCTGACAGTCATTAGAAAAACTATAAATCTGATAGAACTGTGCAATGTACAACAAATGTCAAATAGGTAATTGTCTGAACAAAATTAAATACAAGCCAAACAACAACAAAGGACTAAGGAGGTGGGGTCTAGACACGCAACCCTTGAAATTCAACATTTACAAATTTACAATACTATGGTATTAACATGCATTTAATGAAATTTGCAGTCGGTCACTAAATTATCTGTACACATTGGTCGACACAATGCGGAGAATACATAATTATTATTAACAGATATCTTACCGTTGTATACTTGTATTACACGGACTCGTTTAGTGGCACCGTATACATCAATGACTGCTCTGATAGGACCATCGTTATACGGTATGGTCCTTGAAAGTGGAACAACAAACTCACCGTTGATAATGAAATGCATAACAGCCATGTTCTGGCCACAGGGTAAATACAACACCCCGACCCGACTGCCCACGTCCGTTGGCAAGATGTCCATTTTTTCGTGGCCCGACGACTTCAGAATGCTGGTTGGGAATGTACCCCGGGATGTGAATACGTGATTACCGTCCAGCCGGAAGTAGTTGGTCAGATAGTTGGCGTCGTACCAAGCCTGGTGTTTGGTTAGGGCGCATATCCACGATTCACCCATCGTCTTGTTGGATACCATGTCCGGTATAGCGCACTGTGGTAACAGATGACCGCTGCGCTGCAGCGCGTCCGGGTCGAGCTGAGTCAGGCCCAGCCGTATGTGTCCGGACCAGCCATTCTCGCTGCTCTCGATCTCGATGAGGAACACCTCGCCCGGCGACAGCGACTGTTCGCTGAACACTATGGCGTTGGCGAAGCTCATCTCCCGGTGCGCCACCGTGTCCTGTTCGTGAAGGCTCAGGTTGTAACCGTGGAACCGGTGAAACCGCGTTTGCCGGTAAGTGCAAGGCTGCTTCTCGGACATGATGACTTCGGTTGTTCAGGGACAATATCAATACGAGCGCCGGTCGCACGCGACGGCGACGGCGTTCCTCCTTTGAGCGGAATCCGACTGCGGCTGCCGCACCACCAGTACCACACCCCCGTCAAAGACGACGACCATTGGCGGCGGCGGCCGTGGTCGGCACACTAACTCCGAGTCATTTTACCTTGCAAGCGATTTATGATGCACTCTGAAATCACGACGACGACGAATAACAATAATAGTGACGGCGATATACGAAGTTACTATATTATTATAGTTAGTAGTTAAGTAACTACAGTACTACACTTCAGCGTAATGCGTGCGTACCCTACCGCGAAACCGTAATCTCCAAGCGGCGAGCAGCAGCCAACAGATATCAACAACAACAACAAATAACAACAACAATAAATAGCCGTTTATACAACTGTATTATGTGATGATCATGATTAATCCGAGTTCTGAAAAATCTTTAAAGTTTAACCCTTTGTTATCTAATCAATTGTCTTATCAGTTATCAATAAGTAATAACCAAAAGTAATCATCAAGTCGTCTACGGTCTATTACACTATAATTGACTATTCGTCTCTCGTCAATACTCAATAGCAATAGCCAATAATAGCATGAAATATGGGTAATCGAAAAAAAAGTCCCGGTAAAAAAAGCCTCGATAAAAAAGTCTCACACTAGGAACAAAAAGTCCCGAAAAAAATGAATGAAAATATATCAAAATTGAAGTATAAATATGTTAAAATTGAATTGAAAAATACATTAAAGTTACATAATAAATCATATAATATCATAAAAAATAGAAGGGAGCTTACATACCTTACATACCTATATAGTGTACATATTATAATAGGTATATAATATTATATACATATACCTATTTAATTTTCAAGTTCCTTAATGAAGATCATACTTTTGGCTTCTGCTTTAATTTAGTAATTTACTATATAGTTTTAGTGTAATGATAATATGGTATGTATCAAATTGTATAGATAAATATAAAAAGTTTCATATCATAAATTATTCATCATAAATAAAAAGGTTTTTAGCAGAGGTAATTTTTAAAAAATTTAAGTTTGTTTTAATAAGAATTCATTCTGGATGGTTTTTCAAGTATAGTAAACTAATCATTAATAAATATATGCGAAATTACTATAGATACTTATAATTTGAACTTTGATTAGGAACATTACATAAAAACAAACGTTTTTTGGTACCTATAATAATAGGTTATATGTAGGTATACCTAAAAACAGGCCTTTTCAACAGCCGTAAGTCATAACATAAGAAAGAGGTGTACCTAATTATAATATTACATTTTTATAGTATTATTATTATAATTATATAGGTACTATAATTGTATTTTTATTGACTATTGTATTACATTTTATTATTTTAGACTTGTATTAAATTAAATTTTTTTATTTTAATATGTGATTTAAGGAAGTTATTAACATTTTTTATGATATTATATGATTTTTTATGTAACTTTAAAGTTAAATGTATTTTTCAATACTATTCTAACATATTATTTATACTTCAATTTTGATATATTTTCATTCATTTTTTTCTGCAGTAACATGATTTAAATCTATCATGGTCAATAGGGAATAGACTCAATCGTCAGTCGAAATGTTGAATAAATATATCTAGATCTGGGCGTCTAGCAAATCCAACAACCAATTCTAATATTCTAATTCACAGAAGGAATAATAATTGAGCATTATTTTAGTATTAAAGTGTACTATATTTTTTTTATAAAATTAAAACACATTTTTAACAAATCAAAATATTAAATTTAACTATACATAAATTTATCAACTACTATTTTACTCTAACTAATTTACATAAATATAATGGCCCATAGTTGAGTGGTAAAAACGGCATGACCATCTGACCGAATTTCAACCCTTTGCTGAATGAGTACAAAGACTTTAGAGGTCGAAATTGGTTTGTCAAGTCCCTAAACAATAAAATAAATATTAACAATTAACTTTTATTATTTTTGATTTTAAAAACATACTTGACAATAATTTGATGGTTTGTTTCTTCCCATATTTTTTTTAAAGCCATTTTGACTACACCATCATTTTGTATGGGTGATAAAGAACAGGTTGAATAAACTACAGTACCACCCACAGCAATGTTCATTAAAGCAGATCTAAAAAAAAAAAATGTACATCAAATAAAATATCAATTCATTTAAACATAAATTTAGGTATTTATTACTTTAAGATATCAGCTTGTATTTCCGGCAATTGTAAACGTTCTTTAGCACGAGTTGGTTTGAACATATTATTTTCATTATTTTCCAAACTATGACGATCGTTTGTGCATGGAACATCTACTAATATCTGCAATAATAAATAGATATAATATTTCTGTGTTTTGTTGATGAAAATAATTACTACATTCAAATTCTGATCTAATTATATACAAAACAAAAAAATTTAGTATAGAAGATGAGTGTACTAAAGTTTAATAGAAGAGAATCGTTTAACTCAAAAGTTAGGATAAGTCAATAAAACTTGAACGTAGGGCTGTTTAATTAATGTATTTTTATTTGATATTAATTTCATGTTATACCTACTCAATTATTTGTGATAAATTACAATTTATAATATCTAGAAAATAATGGAATAATTGGAAGGAACTTAGAAAAATATTCTCAGCAGATCTTGGATTACCTAGAAGTAATAATGAATTGTCTAAAAACATATTATGCTTGCTTTTTATTCTACAAAGTATTAAAAAATTAAACCATATTATTGTAAAACCAATATCTCCTTCGCCTTGCTCAGAATCTAAAATACTTTTATTAAGATTATAATCAATATTTTTTCATTACAATAACTAAATGTATAAGTTAAATAATTACTTTATTGTATACATCTGGTTCATTAATGGATCTTGCATTCATTTGTGTGAACATTAGACGTGAGCCCCAACTTTGATAATCAGAAATATATTCAGACATAACATTATGTATTTTTTTAATTCTGGATTCTTGAATATCATTACATACCAATGATTCTAAGACATAAGCAAATTATAGTAAACACTCATAACGATTATTTTTTAATTACAAATTGAACATAAATTTCTTATGTTGTATATCTTACTGATAAAAGCAGGGCTTTGCACCCGAACATAACCCGAATTTTCTGCCAACACCCAAAAACCCAAAAAAATTATTCCGGTGCAAAGCCCTGGATAAAAGTAAATTAAAATAAATAATAACTAACCGGGTAATAATGTTTGTAGTGTTGCTAATGCTTTACCACCTGGGGCTGAACACATATCTAATACTCTGTCACCAAGTTTTAAATCTAGTGCAAATACAGGTAAAATTGAACCTCCATCCATTAAATAATAACCTAGTGTTAAATCAAATACATTTCATATAATATTCATATATCATGATTAATTATTTCTTTCCTACAATGCACATTAGATTATTAAATAATATACAATGTGATCCAGAATATTAGACTACAGTACACTAATTTTCTAATTTAACTTTTGTGATGTGAATAAATATATTTTTTATACAAATTAAAGTACATAGGTACCTACTTATAAAATTACATTTGAAAAAACCATAAGTGTATTTATCACAAAAATTTGCTAAAAAAGTTAGTGCAGCCTGTTAAATACATAATTTTTCATAAATCTTACCACTGACTTTAGTAGGTCCAGTTTTAGGATGTGGAAATGGAGTAAAATCACCTCTATCAAATGTAAATACTTGTAAATGAGATGGAATGTTAAGAGGACTTTCTTCGTTTAATATATTAATTGGGAAATCTGAATTTTCTTCATAGTATTGGTAATGTTGGGATTCTGGAATCCAGTCACTTTTGCCATGAAGCTCAGTAGCTGGTATAAATTGATATAATCCTCCAATATTAGAATTTGCTTCAGGGTCAATAAGCCTACTTTCGTCATGTTCTGCTTCTAATAAGCTTTCGTGAAGTGATGCCTTTTCCACATATTCTACACTTAAATTTAAAATTTATAAACAAAACTTTTACCATCAATAAAATTCTTAAATATTTACTTTTCTTTTTTTGTGTCACTTTTATTGTCATCGGTTAATAAAAGTTTTTTTAATTTTTTATCTAATTCATGAATATTTTTTTCATTTGTAGACTCTTTGGCTTTTAGCAAATGTGCTTCAACTACTTTTCTTACATTCATCGCTCCCAACCACTGAAAATATACATTAAATATGTTACAAATATAATAATAGCATAATAACTATTTATATATTTAAATGTATTGTTAAATTCAACATATTAGAATACTTTATCACTTTTGGTTGAATACAATTATTCCAAATAGAATAATACCTCTAACTGTTGAGAAACTTTTTCGGAATCACCAAAATTATTAACTACAGCTATGTATTTGTGCGGTGACAATAGAGCTAATCGTATTGATCTCCATCTTCTTCCATAAACTGAACCGTAAAAATCATCAAAGTGTTCTAAAGCCTTATCTTTTGGATGAATTCTCTTCTTGATTGAAGACTGAAATACAGGTAATATAATATAGACAAATTATAACAAAAATAAATTGTATTCCTTAATAATTATACTATTTAGTTATTGTATAATACTAACCCAATGCGTTTTTTTTGTCCGTACATGAACTAATTGCACATGTTTATGGCATAACGAATGCGATATGAGAGCAGCAGTGTTCGTTCGGAACATTTTAAAAATATATATATTACAGTACCCTAACATATTATATTGAATACAAAATTATTAAACCCGTATTCGAATAAAAACTTAACTAAATTTATTTTATTTTTATCTTTTAGTGATAGTGCTATCAAATATCAATGATATTAATTTATCACCACATTATCCCAGAATAGACGGTGACACGACCATTGAACTATATAATAACATAACTATAATTATATAGTTCAATGTGCACGACAGAAGAAATATTATTTTGTGTTATCACCATGAACACGATCATGGCCACGGACCACGGATTAATATTAATATTAATATTAATCCGTGTCCGTGGTGTCCTTATCACCATTGAATTATTAATATTATCTACTATATTTGATTCTAAAAAATATAGCTACATTATTATACATGAACATGTACGTCGTACGATTCTTGATTGGTGAATGCATAGAAAAAAGATTAAAAAATTGACGTGAATGACTCATTGACTCAGTGATGAGACGTGAAGATGTTCTCTATTCAATATTCATGTTAATAGTTATATACCTACTTATAATTGTTATTTGTTATAAAAGTAGATAATCAAAACTTACCGAAGTGTCTCAGGTATGTTTGTTTGTGTGTATACCAGTTAATACCTAATAATGATTTTTCATTGTAATCTTGAAACGATCGAAAAATACCATCTTCTAAATGATTATAATACAAATGTAAACATTTTTAAAAGGAAATTGAATTTTAATCTGCTGTTTAACTTTTCAATCGTAAGTAACAACAAAAGTTATTCCAATATTTTTGATAATAATAATATTCAACTTTACACTTTTTTCTGTTTTAAATAATTGTTATTTACAAAGCAATAAATATGTATGCTTCATTGTTCAAATCGCTCTTTAATAAATCTGGTAAAAAAGACAAGAAGGAACTGATTACTGTGGAATCTGGTCAATTTGACATCACTAAAAATGATGTTGAAGACATGCTTACTTCGTTGAATGAGATAAACGTTGATGTCAAAGAAACTTTAGATAATAGTGTTAGTCGTTCCGTGTCGTTAGATAATATTATTGATGGTATCGAGTCAATGCCTATTGATAATACACATCCAGACTATTTGAATGATAGTGCTTCAGTTGACAATTTTGATGACACTAAAAGTGAAGTAAGTTCTATTGGAGAAAACCAAGTAGCGTGTGAAACAGATGAAAATTCCAAAAAAACCAATACTGCAAATAAAATTAACAGTCTTCAGTGTTTGTTTACATGGAACATAAAATCAAATGACAAGAAAAATATGATTTTATTGATACATAATAAATATGGAGAATACAACTTAAATATTTCTTCACCTGAGTTTACATTTGAAAGGTACATAGGTGATATAAATAATATTTAAAAAAAAACTTTAATCTTCTACTATACTCTGTCCCACGAGAGAACATGCCAGTTCATCGCATCCCCCTACGTCACCCTGCTGTCGAAACTGGTTCCCCTATGACATGGTGTGTCGTGGAGACAGGGCCGTCCCTAGGGCAGGGCGAGCGGGGCCCGCGACTCTCAAGTTGGACATTCCCCGCTTTTGTAGATACCATAAAAAAGTCAAGTTAATGAGAAAAAAAAATTATTATTTATATATTTTTATATCTTCAATTGCTGTATTTTTACTACCTTTACCTAACTACTTATATTAATTGACATCAGTCGTCAAATAAATGTATTGCATTTTAAACGAGTTAATATGATTAAAATTCAATTTCAAAGTTGAAAATGATAAAAATCTTCAAAGCGCTCTGTCCCCCCAAAAAAACACAAACTTAGCTATAATATTTATAGAAAAAAAAATGCTTAAATTCTGAGCGGAGCGAGTAAGAAGTTTTAGAATGCGTCGAGAAAAACAAAAAATAGGTGACTTTTATACAAAACCAATATTTGAAAAATAGATTTTTTTTTTTTGTGTATCTCAAAAACTCAACTGTAAAACCCCTTGAATTTTCAACAAATATTTATATTAGAATTTTCCATTAAACATTTTCTTAATATTTTGACTATTGAGCTAGTTATAGGCTTGATCCCTTGAGAAATTTTTCCATTTTTCTAAATTTTTTTTAAATTATCCTCGATAAAATCTTTTTCATTTAGTAAAAAATTTTGAAAATGTAATGATAGGTTCCTTATAATTTTCATTAATGGAAGCTTTAAAAATACATAGGCTCAATTATTTGTTACATACTTATAAAGTTCCAATTTTAACAAAATTCATAAAAGTTTTTTTTTCATACCTAACTTAAGACATTTTAATAGAAGGTTCCACACGTTTTTGTACCCTATCAACTAAAAAGTTCCCAGAAAGTCACGTTTTCGATCTTTGTTAATTTCGTTTTAGCTACTAAATTTGATTATTTTTCAAGTGGTGCTAGGCTGATACATGTCTCCGCTCAGAACATGTTTTTTTCAAAAGATTATCAATGTAATTTAATATAACACATCCATTACAACGACATGCTTGACACCCACTGTACATCAGAGCGGTACCCACTTGTCCACCTTTTTTCATATTGTATTAGGTGCCTATACTATATTTATAGACTTATTAATTTATCAATATTATTATATTAAGTAAAATATTACGTGTTTTGTTATTAATTAATTTACTTATTCATATTATTGTAAGTACAAGGTCTTTATTTTTCAGTATAGTTGAGCGTAGCCCCCTTATACCTAGGTAGGTATACATCAAACTCATAATATTATAAATATTTAAATAAATACAACTGCAACTCACGATAATGACATTTTAGGCCCACAAATTTACTCTGCCCTGGCCCCGCAAATCGTCCGGACGGCCCTGCGTGGAGAACCAGTTTTGGTCGGTTTGTGGCATGATCTCTCGTGGGACAGAGTATCGGTATATTCTTTTTTGCATTATAAACACAAAGTAGCTTATAGCTTAGCTTCTGTGTATGTAGGTATAATAAAAATATAAAATAAAAAATTAATAATATTCCTATCTTATTTATACTTCAAATAATTGATTTTAATTCTTATGTTTAGGTATGTAGGTAATTTAATTATTGGCTATGAATTATTTCATAAAGGTGAGTCCCGAATTAGGACAATGAAAATATTAGAAATTGGAAATGGCTTGAAGAATTAGACATGGTACTAATGAATTTTATTTATCTATTAATATTGGTCTTCAACATGTTATGAAGGCAACTTTTACTCATATGTTATTTGCTACAAATCTTACCGGCGAGTGTCAATGGGTATGTTATTATTTATTTATTTTTATTTTAACCTGTCGTTGGTCGAGTGGTGAGAGATTCTCTCATTACGATATTATTTTGGTCACCACTGTCTGTTATATCGGTTTATTGCCTATTAGTTGTACTATACCTTATCAGATACAGATAATCTAAAAATAGATGGGCACTAAACGACTTTGTAATTGATTATAATATACTGTCAGACAGTGTCAGTAATCAGTATCCGTTTAACGCGACTCGTATGCACACGGTGGGAGAAATTCTCTATAAGCGACCAAAAAAAAAAAATAAAAATTACAAAAATTGTTATGTGTAATGTATTTTGAAAAAAAAAGAAAATATACATAAATACTGAAATATATATAGTTTATAAGTGCTCATTTATATAATAAATGTATTTTGGTAGTTTATTATATGTTATAAGACTTTTTGAAGAAAGTGAGAGAATCTCTCACCAAGCGACCAAAGGAGTACAAAAAAAAAAACGAAACCAACGACGGGTTAAGGGGATTCGATACCGTGATTGTCTGTTTCTGTCTAACACATGCGTGACAGTATTTTAGACTTGTTTTTTGCCAAACATACCAATTGATCCAATGAAGCAATAAGAATTCTGAAAACAGATTTGAATTTTTCGCCAAGTCTACTTGAAAGCAACTTTCCCACATTTTTGATATTAAAACCCAAATTCCTAAAATTGTATATAAAAACGGAGTGTTTAAAAGTTGTAGTATTTCAACTTTTGGAGAAGTTAAACTCAAAAAAATTAAAAATGTGGGAAAGTCGATTTCAAGTAGTCTTGACAACAAATTCAAATATGTTTTTAGAATTCTTACCGCTTCCTTACCTATATCAATTGGTATGTTTGGCGAAGAACCCGTCTAAAATCATATGTCGTACATATGTTAGACAAAAGAGAAAATCACGGTACCAAATCCTTTTAAGAACATAGGTATCATTCATTTTTTTTATTCAAATATTTAAAAAAAAAATCTCCATATTATGTTATGAATAAAAGCTGCTAAGTTAAATTACCTACAATATTCTTGAAAAAAATATTTCAAATATGTCATTGTACTTTTATAGATATAATATGTGTACTTATTTTATAACCCGAGCCGATAGGCGACGGGAGCCAATAGGTGATGGGAGCGAGGTCCCTTGAGTTTGAAGACCAGAGCCACTATACCTACTTGTGATACTTCAACTAACAAAGATAAAATTACTTGTTAGGTCATCCGTCTGCCCGAAAGGCAGGTATGCTCTCCCCCGCCCCCTCCCCACAGGTTTGTTAATTAAGCCCCGGGGGGATTGGAGCTCGAGATCCGCAGGACCTCGAGCTTCTATAGACTTATGTTATTCTAACTGGCGTACGGAGCCGATAGGCGAAGGGAGTCATTATATACTTATGTAAACAGGTCAAGGAGTGAAAACACGAATTAACTATGCATACGGACTCGTAACTTTTAATATATAAATATCGACGTCCTCTGAGGGGCATTATAGTAGGTGTTGCGCACATGCGTATCAACGTAAAAATCGCAAACTTTGGAAGGCTGTAACTTCCAAAATAATCATTTCCGCAAACTAATTTTTACACCATCGTTTTAAACTTGTCGAGGTTTCCAAAAACAAATCTAAAAATTCGAGTGGGCGCTAAACTAGAATTGTTCCTAGTTTTTATAAAAAGAAGAATGCTGGTTCTTGTTCTTAAAAACTAAAAAATGTTTTTTTCTGTAATAAAAATTTTAATTCATACCCAATTAAAAAAAAAAAATGTATATCTACACAGTTATTACCTTAAAAAAATGCATTTTGTACTATTTTATTTTTCAGTTGTTGGATGATATTACACTGTTGTCTAATATGGATTCTAAATCAAGAGCTACTATACATGCAATTCGAGCAGCTGTATTTACTGAATATGGTGGAAGTCGTCACATTTTTAAAAGAGCTTGTAAAAGTGCAAAAAAAGCATGCGATTTAGATCCTAATACTTCACATTGGTTTTATATTCATTCAATTGCTTTGACAACTCAAAGACAGTTTATACAGTCACATAAATCATATCCAACTGATAGTGAAATAAATGCTATTCAGCAAGCAATTTTGTTATCTGACGGAAAAAATACTGCTTTCAACTACCATAGAATGATATTAGATAAAGACACTGCAATTCAGTATTATCATGATAATGAAAATAATCATGATAAATTGTGGATTGAAAAAAATCGGCAGGCGAATAAAACAATTGTTCAAATGATTAAGTATGTAAATAAAAAAAATTATACTTAATATCCTAAAAATATAGACATTATATAAATGTATATTGTATACTATGTATAATCAGGCATGTATACAGGTTGGTTCAGCCCCCCCTGAAAATGAATATGGTATAAATTTATTTATAATCGATCTCTTTGAATCCACTCCAAAGTTTTTGTTTGTGTACTTGCCTGTGTTTCATTAATAAATACCGTCAATCGAGGTGACTTGGAACGATTTTGACATATTTCTTGTTATTCTGAGCTTAAAAAAAATCACACTGGACTACAAAAAATACATAAATGTTTGCATACATCTCATGAATAGGATAAGACCTTTCATTTAGTTTTTTGACCAAAACTGAATTTAAAAAAAAGTAAAAAGTACGTGTTCCAAGTCACCTCAATTTTTGGGTGACTTGGAACAGCTATGAAAATTTAATGTGAAATTCAATTCAAGAACGTTAGAGGTGACTTGGAACAAAATTTTTATTTTAAAAATTAACACAAGAACATGTTAAATAAATATTAAAAAGAAACAGGTTAACTTTACCTTTTTTTAACAGTAAACTAAATATTAAATAATAAATATCAATAACATGATAAAAACAAAATAAAAATTCTTCCTAAATAGAAAAACATAACTAAAATAGTTCTTCAAATAAACACAAATACATTTAATATCATCGAGGGCCTGTTAAAGTGTTTCGTCACTGTCATTTATATATGTCCGGCTACCCGGTTTACGCTCGTATTTGTTTGGCATTTTTGGTGTTCCAAGTCACCCTCAATTTCTTCTTGGAAAATAAAACTTAAGTTATAAAATTAGAAAAAAATGTTTAAGGACTTTTAACTACAAAAGTCTGCTTTTGAAGTGTCCTTTAATGTATAAAAAATGACAATCTTTAAATTTGACTTCAATCACCAACATTTGAAGCACTTTTGAGAGCAATGATAAATCGTTGGTTATCATAAAAAATGGTTGGTTATTTTTTCGGTGGTAATGATAAGACCAACCACATGGTTGATGATAACATTTATTATCACAAATATTGTAAATTTAATTTAAATGCAGGCAGATTTAAATTATATCATTTTGTTTCATAGATAACCTGATATGTTTAAAAAAAAAACCGGGGTGTTTCATTTCACCTCAAAGTTCCAAGTCACCTCGATTGACGGTATAGATTAATATTAGCATAGTCTTTCCATTTTGTAGTTCAAAAGGTAGTCACCCCTATCTAAATATACTCTGAATAAGATACCTCAAAACCTAGAATATTTTATATATTTATTGGACTCACCCCATGACTTCTCTAATATCTCATCTAGAAAATCCTTTGTCAAGAGTGTTCATAATACACGGTGTTAAAATTACAAATTACTTTTGCAGTAACACTGTAATAATTATATTTGAGTTATATAAACGCAATTGCAATCAAATTACTTTTTAAAAGTAATTTCAGTGAAGTAATGTGTTATTTTCCACTCAAAATAAGTTGTGAATGTAAAATGTATGAGAAAAACTAAGGGCTAGGATATTAAAAAAAAATTAACAATTATTAAAATTTACTTACGATTCTGAATGTTTTAGATAATAAATAATAGTCAACAATATTATTAAAGATCACAGGAATTAATACTTAGACATTTTGTTCATGTATAAGTGTATACAATTAAGTCATTAACAATGTACTACTTTTTGAATGAAAAAGTAAAGTAACATGATGAAAATAATGTCTGTAAACGCAAATGTAATTTAAATAAAAATATTTAATATAATGATTAATTAATTTACAAAAGTAATTAACTCAACACTGATAATATAGTCAATTGAAATTTGAAATTTTATTATGTCTGTGGGTACTTCATACATTTTTACAGATTTTATTATTTGAAGTTAATTTATATTTAGCTATTTTGATTAAATGTTACATTAATTATTTGTGTTATTGCAATCTTTTTTTGTGTGTTTACATTTTTTATTTAACAAACCCATAAGATAAATTTATTTTAGATGTAGTTATACCTATAAACATACAATTTTTATTTTTATTTATTTTAGCCTTTTCATAAAATTTAATCTGTAGACAATACTTGAATGAAAATTAAATTATAGTAAATAAAACAATTATGAATGTATTATATACTTTTAATACAATTTAGGTATTTAGAAGTGAGTTTTCTAAAGGTTTCCTTTTCCTTTTTTTTTTTTTTTAATATTATTATTTATTTTATTGTTTTAGAACTATTATAAGCATGGATCCAAAAGACCCTCATTTGGTAGTTAAATGTGCTAGAACATTAATGACTCTTCCAATTATGGTACGTGATTTTAATTTGGGAAAACAATATTTGATAAAAGCCTTTGATATGGCACCAAATGATGTGACTGTTTTAAAATCTATTGAAAAAACAATTGAAGTTTATAAAGATATTGTAAGTTATGCTCAGAAATAATATTCATAGTTTAATGTTTTAGGTAATTGTTTTTCTTTTTTAGTCTAAAAAACAAAGACCTAGCAGAACAACTGAAACAAAAAAAAATCATCCACCACTGAAGAATAAAACACAAAAATTAGGAATGGATTTAGGACTTATAGTAACAAAACAAATGAATGGGGAAGATCCTATTCCTTACCTTATTAATTTGATTTCTAAATATGATGGGCTTGATAAATCAAAAATTATAGCTCAATTATGTTCGTATATAATATTATTCACAAACAACCTAAGATCTGGCGTTGAAGAGTTTATAAAGTTGATTGAACAACCAGGAATTGCCAACAATTTTATAATTACGGTATGATTGTTTAATTATTATAACTCATAAGTCATAAGTAAATGTTTGCTTATAAATGTTAATCAATTTTCTTATTGTATATTTTCATTTGTTTTAGCAACATTTTTCATCATTTGGTTCAAAGAAGTTTCATTTAGCAGAACTTATTTGTAATGAAATTAGATTGGCTACAAATTCAAGTAGCACCGCTCCTGCGGATATGTTGTACTTTTTTAAAATGTTAACTAAAATCATGGAAACTTGTAACTTACAAATGAAAGATGTTGATTCTTCTTCGAAGACTAAGATCATTGATTCATCCGTGAAATCTTCATTTCCTAATACAACTCATCAAAGTGAAACGGGTTCATCAGATAACGAGAGTGTTGAACAAGTTTCAGTTAAACGCAGAACATTGTTTAATAATGTTGTAAGATATATTCAAACATTTTATTAGTTTAAAATTTTCGTTCATTGTTTTTTTTTTTTTTTTTTTTTTAATTTTAGTCAAAAAAACAGAAACCCAAAAGTAATAAAAAAAAACGAAAACAACTCCCGGCGAAAAATAAAATATCAAAATTGGGAACGGATATAGGATTTATAGTGAAAAAACAAAGAAATGGAGAAGATCCTGTTCCTCTCCTCACTAATTTGCTTTCTAAATATGATGGAGAATATAAATTAAAAATTAAGGCTCAGCTTTGTTCTTACACTATATTATTCGAAAACAACCTAAGATCTGGAGTTGAACAGTTTATTAAGTTGATTGAACAATCAGAAATTGTCAGTAATGATGTAATTACAGTAAGTATTTTTAAAAAGTTGCTCGGATGTACAGTAGGTTACAAGTGGGTTGCTGTATAATGAATGGTATTAAAATTGAATTCAATGATATAATATCATTGTATAAGAAAAACGATTCTGAGCGGAGACGGTATGTCTGTCTAGGTATAAGAGATATTACATAGTGTTGAAATATACAATTAATATGTAGTATATGTAGTCAGCCTTGACATGTGTGTACAATATAGTAACTAGTTATGTACGAGCATAAGACTCACTCTCTTCACGGATGTAACATGACCTCGGTCGTGCATATATATAGGGCCTTTGATGTATGTAATATTCACTTGCACAGGCGTCGTTGTACAGAGCGTATACGATGTGTGTGTACTGTCATAGTTTAATTGTCCAGTTGTACGTTATTATATATTATACTTATACATAATCATATTGTCGTGTTATTACTTATTATATTAATGCTAACATCATTAGTCCGTCAAGCTTCACTTTCAACACATAGTTATCTATGGTATTAAAAAAAAATTAACCTATAATAGGTACCTATAATAAATTCCAAATTAATTATATCACAATATCCACTAGGTACTTATAAGTTATAACGCGTTATACATCAACAACAAACCCTGATGCTATCATAGATATATAATAGTGTACTTTAGAAGCTTCAGGTACCTACGAATAATATTATACAATCATAACAAAATAACTAAAATAGTTATTCTAGGTTTTTTATTATATAATTTCGTCCAAATTTGACTATAAAAATAAACTGTGTTTATATATCTTTTAGATTTTTTGGTAATAGAATTAACTACTTACGTGGAATCTTGTTTTAAATTTTCAATCCTTAGATATAAAGTTGAACATTTTATAAATTTTTAACTACAAAATAATTATTCAATTTTAAATCTGATAAATGTTGTCAAAATTCGATCTTTAAATGCTTATAAAAAAATTGTCCCTATGTGTTTTTAATATTTTTCACTGCTATTGTAACAATTTATCAAGAGCCTTGTATTACATTTTTACACTTTTTGGCCCAATTGATAAAACTTTATTGATATTCATAGAAAAAGAAAAAAAAAATTGAAATATGAAATTGTACGTTCAAATAATAACAGTTCAAAACAAGTAAAAATATTTTGATAATGTTATCAAGTATAAGAATTAATAAAATAAACATATAGTGAAATTTTCATGTATCTACAGTTAAGCAAAATCGATTTTGTAAAAATTCCCGTTTTTCCTTAATTTTTATTTTGTTTTTCCGGGCGCTTTTGAAAACTATTGGGAATTTTAAATTTTGACCTCCCCAATGCACCAACAATATTCCCTTTCCCATCGAATAAGATACTTAAGTTGAAAATCGAAGCATTATTTTGACTACTTATCGCGTAAACACACACAAAAAAAAAAAAACACACATGATTGTAAAATTAATACATTCATCATTCCACTCAGAATCTAAAAATATATAACAATTTTGACTTTTATTAAATATTATTTTTTCTATCTAACTAACAAATTATCCTTCATTATTTTTTTTTATTATTTATAAACTTAATTAGAAATAAGTTATTTGTTATTCTAATATAACCTATTTTAGTGTATGAGCAGAGTAATGAAAAACACCTTTTGGAACATGAAACTATGGGGGTTGTTTCTGATAGTAAATTATATCTGGTTTGTACATTAGGAGGTCTAAGGTAATAATTATGCCAGTACTTTACAAAATAATAAACAAAAACAACAAATAAATTGCTTAATATTATTATTTTTTTTGTTTTTATCCATATTAGCTATTTCCTAGACCATGATATAATTTTCAAAAATTAAAAAAAATATGTAGTTATGCTGGTAAAAAAAATGTTCAACTCAAACCTTAATAATTTAACACAAAACTCCTTATAATTTGTAATCATTTGTAATTTTTAACTTACAGAAATTATAAAAATTTTAAAAATCCACATTCACAATTTCATTTTAAGCGTTTGTACTTTATCAAAATCAAGAAATTGGTAAATATTTTGTAGCTACAAATGTAGTAAAATATTCTTCATCAGTTATTTTTACCAGAATAAAAAAAGGTTAGCCTAATGCTTCATGCATTTTTTATTACTATTAAAAGTTAAAATATTTGCTAAATTTGATATTTAAAAAATAAACAGCTTAAATTTTAATAAATATAATATTTTATTTATTTTTTTTTTTTGTAATCCATTATACTAACTAATACATTTTTCCATTACTTATATTATTAAAATATTTTGTTTAATTTTTAGCTATTTATGGTTTATTCCGAAATCTTTTTCATGCCATTCTATGGAAAAAAAGTACTGACTTATAAGTTAATAAAATAATAACAGTCATACATGATGTTATACTCTATTTATTATAATACGCAATTTATTGTTGACAAAATTAGTCCAACCTAGGGCATAATTTATACTTATATACATTTGTGCAAGGTCCTGTTTGGTACTTCTTATAATTATTTTATTTGTTTCAGAAACATGTTTCAGCATTTGGTTCAAAGACATTTAGTTTACCAGAGCTTATTTGTAATGAAATCAGATTGATTACAAATTTAAGTGGCACTTCTTCTGATATGCTCTATTATTTTAAAATGTTAACTAAAATCATAGAGACATGTAATTTAAAACTTAATGAGGTTGACTCATCTATGAAGAGCAAGCTCGTGATTGATTCTTCAGTCTATCTATCTAATGTTTATTGTTGCAGTATGTCTACAGTTTATCGACCATATGATTATACCTACATACTACTATAAGTAATAACGATAATCAATACCACGATTATAATATAAATCTAGATAATATATTATATAGATACCTATAGTATCATGTACATTTATCTCATCGATATAATCGATTTCATGAGGGACGTATCGGGCTTGAATTATAAATTGAATTTGTCACTTTGTCAGTGTATCCCGAGACGCTATTTAGTTGAGATGGAGGTTGAAATGGAGGTTTTTGTAGTAGCAGAAAATAAAAAAATTATATTTGACGGATATGCAGATACGGTTCATCATAATCTAGTTTCAAGTATTCGGTGGAAATGTTCCACTAAAATGGTCATTGCTTAAGAAAATGGAATGTAGAATAAATTATTATTGTAGTTAGATTTTTTAAAACGTATTACTTTTTTTAAAACTATAATTATTGTATTGACATCGACAATCATTTCTTGGGGAAAAGTACCTATTGTATATCAAATTATTATTATTATTGTATAGCCCCAAACGTAATGTACCTATATCAAATTATTATTATTATTATTTCCAAACGTAATGTGAAAATTATAAAATGTTCAATTTTTATTTTGTAAGATTGCTGTAGGTAAGTATAATAAAAATCCCAAAAAAGAAGTCGTATGATTGGACTATCCCATTTTACATCTCACCCGGGTTAGGGTACTAATATTGTACATTGTGATTTGTGACATTGTGTCGGTAATTGCAGAAATAATAAGTAATAAAATATAAAAAAAATTTTAATAGACAATTTTGTATTTTCGAACTTTTTGTCCGACAGTAAAAATGTACTTGGACTTAGATAATGTGCCATCATATTATCAAGAACTTTGTAGTATTCCAATTTTAAAAATTGATCTGCAGAAATATCTTCACCCGATGAATTTTCTCCACTCATAACTTTCCTTTTTATTGTCCTTTTGATTTTTAATTCAGATTTTATTCCAACTTTATCACAAATACTAATAGCTTCAGTTTTAATTTGTTCATTTCCACTATCACGCATTTCTTGGAGAGAAACATTTAAACAATTTATCATTTTTGAAGCCTGATCTATTGAAATATTTGAGCTTTGTAATAATTTATTTACACGATATATTTGATTCAATATTTTATCCCACATGACTAAAAAATAAACAAATTCCAAATCAAACTGTTTCAATATACTTTCTGCATTAGCAACCCCATCGCCAAAAATTGGATTGGTAGATATGTCACGTAAAGCTTTTATCACACCGCCAAATTGACAATACAACGAATGAACTGCATTATATTTAGATGCCCAGCGTGTGTCACTGTGCGTTTTTAATGTTATTTTCAAACACCGCATTAGTACTTCCCAGCGACTTGTTGATCCAGAAAAATAGTTAAATATATTTTGTACAATACCGAAAAACGAAATCATTTTTACTGATACACTAGCAGCATGTAGGTACGCCGATTAAATTAAGGCTGTGTGCAGCACAAGGGACAAACTGAGCATGTTCATTAATCTCTTTTAATCGAGCTTGTACACCTTGATATTTTCCCGCCATGTTTGCGCCGTTATCATAGCCCTGTCCACGACAATTCTTAAAACTAAGTCCATCTTTCTCCAACTTTTGTAATACATCAGAAGCTATTCCAAGTCCAGTCTTTTCATTGGTATAAATAAAATCTACGAAACTTTCTTCAATGACAAACTCGTTATTAACTTCTCTAACATACTATATACTGGTATCTTATAATTTCACAGAGTTGATCTTCATGAGAAACATCCGGGGTGGAATCAAAAATAATCATAGGCGTGCGCACAGGGTGTGCCGTGGCACACCCCGTGGCCCTTGGCTTTTTGTACAACTTTTATTCATTCAGGGACTTCGTTTAAATTTTAAGCTACAAATAGTAAAAATTAGAGAAAATAAATTAGGCACTCTAGCAAAAATGATAATACAGACAATATGCCAAGGTTAATGTATGATGGTATGAACGCTATGAACAACTTTAAACAACCAATAAATCAAACCATTATCTAACCAGTGATATCATTATGTCGTATCAACTAAATTTACTACCAAGCACGGACCACGGATTAATATATATCTAGTATATCTAGTCCGTGTCATGGCTTCAATCTAATATCTAAAGCCGTGAACATGATTAAAGCATAGAAGTATGAACACAGATAGTAGGGAATTCAATTATGGGAGACATGCATAAACTGATAACTATATAAGTTTATTCAATTCTATAAAACTATAAAAGTCTATACAATTCTATAAAAGTCTATAGCAGTACCACACTTTTTTTTATTTATTAATGAGATTTTAACATTAAATTATAATATCTCGACAATTATGTACATTAATATAAAATAATATAAGTTGGTGAAGCTCACACTCTTAAATTCGGAGGCCTGATTGCAGAATAAAATTTTGCGTATGTTTGATTATATTAACATTGTCGGTTCAACTCGGTTGAAAGAGCGTCAATGAGGGAAAAATTAATACCAGAGGTGGAAAAGAGATTCTATAGCCGAGATCTTTGGACAGAGAGGACAGTTTGTGAGTAGGTGTTGGAAGTCACAGTATTCTCCATCACAGTTGGGTAGGGGACAATACTTGCTACTGTTGAGTCCAATGGTGTGGCACAGAAAGTTAGGTTAACACCATCACGTCTGGGATGAGGGTTAGTGCATCAAAGTTTATGTCATATAGATGTTGTTTGTGGACTTAGTAAACATGGGGAAAAACCTTCGATAATGCTTGAATCATGAATGAGAGTAACGGTAAAATTAGAACCTTCGAACGAATCTCCATTAGTACCACACTTGGATCATAATATATATACTATACAGTATGTCCAAAAGTCCCGTATCACCCTTAATATCTCCATGTAAAATCACTATATTTTAAACGCGGTTTTTTTACAGTACTAAGTATGAAAATTCTGATTGAATGGCATAAAATTCATTTATTTTTTTCTTTAAATTCAAAAATTTCAAAAAAATTTTTACGCATTTAAGTATTCAAAATTTTTAAGATAGCCATTTTGTTGAGCATATTTCTTAAAACAGTTCAAAAAAAAAATACTAAAATTAAATAAAAATTGACCAAGTTAGAGCAAGTTATGTTTTTGAATAATTGTAGTAAAAAAATAAATTATTGTTTCACATTTCAATAATGAAATATCTAATTTCAGCACACGACAATACTTTTACATTCCTAATTTATTTTTTTACTACAATTATTCAAAAACATAACTTGCTCTAACTTGGTCAATTTTTATTTAATTTTAGTATTTTTTTTTTTGAACTGTTTTAAAAAATATGCTCAACAAAATGGCTATCTTAAAAATTTTGAATTCTGAAATGCGTAAAAAATTTTTTTGAAAATTTTTGAATTTAAAGAAAAAAATAAATGAATTTTATGCCATTCAATCAGAATTTTCATACTAAGTACTGTAAAAAAAACCGCATTTAAATATAGTGATTTTACATGGATATATTTAGGGTGATACGGGACTTATGGGACATACTGTATATATGATCCAAGGCCTGACAAATCAGATTTGTCTTTTTAATTGTCATGATCACGGACTAAGATATACCTTGGGCCGTAGTCATGATCTAACTATCTAAGGTACCACAGAATAATTCTGTGATAGTACCACCAAATAACCTTATGTATATTATTATATAGACATGTGGTTCAATGAGTGCCACAGGGGTTAGGGGTGCGTTCAGGTATGATTAGTTAGAGCAGAGCCCGATTAAAGAAATTTGAAATACTAATATCTAAATATCTTAAATCATGGAGTAGAGTTTACTCTACATTATCAACTCTACTCCAAATCATAGACCTATAAACTAATGGACAGCGCATAGGGAGAGAAATCACCAGAAGGGATTGTTCAGAGAGATAAAAGAGAGGTTTGGGGCCGTTATAATGTGCCAAAACATGTTTTTTCTCTCTCATATGCTGATATGTTATGTTTTTTCTCTCCGTTTTGTCGTCTGGATTAACTATTCATATAAACTACTCATGTAAAGGCAAGGCGGTGTGGGAAGCGCTGTCCATTAGTTTATAGGTCTGTGCTCCAAATAACTGAACGAATGAACGATATATTTTTGTACTGATAAATGATAAGTATATAAATACATGAAGACTGAAATAGTCCGCGGGATCACCTAATACATATAGATATATTACATATAAACCATGTGTCCTCGAAAACAGGGTGATTAAATTACCCATATTACTCAGTACATATTTTACATATTTATACAAATTTATACAAATTTTTGAAGGTATCCGGATTCCGGATATTCCCCCCCCCTGATATTTCTCAACCGGCTGTTTTCGGCGCAGTAGGACATTTTCCCCCCGTTTATTTTTTGTTTTTATTTTTATTTTTAATTATTTACCTTCGAATATAAAATTATTAATTTTAACACATGTTTTTAAGCTTTTGTTCATATTTATTTTTTTTATTTTTGTAAAAACTGTTCGTATTTTATTCATGGCCACAAAAAAAAAAAAAAATTAAAACAAGAATTTTTATTTTAAAACGTATATAACCTCTATAACCACTACTAAACTGCTTTGAACAGTTTTGATATAAAATATTGACTCAATGCTCACGACGATTTAAGATAGTATAAGAATGTTATATTAATAGTCTTAGTAATCGACTGCAAACGCCAAACAGTGCAAACTAACCCATGGGTTTTGAACACAACTTTAGATTTCAATGTTACCATTCAATATTAGTATACTATACTATTTTAATTTTATTTAAAACTATATTTTTACTTAAATTGTTTTAAATATTATTTTTTTATTGAAATTAAGATTAAAGATGTTTTAGTTAACGTGCAGTTTTTACAAAAATAAAAATAATAAATATGAATAAAAGCTAAAAAATAATTGTTAAAAATAATAATTTAATATTCGAAAGTAAATAATTAAAAATAAAAAAAAAACAAAAACAAACGGGGGTGGGGGGAAATGCCCGCATTTTTGAATTTCGTTAGTGGGACATGAAACTAGACTATTGGAAATTTCAATATTTGGATAATTAATCTTCCGCAGCCAGAATTCTGAAATATGTATAGGGTACTGACTACTGAGTGATGTAGGTAACTGAGTTATAGAGTGTACACAGTTTTTGATTCCACCCTGGATAATATTATTATTAGCACAGAATATTCTGTTTTATTAGTTCATGTTTAACACCACCGTCGAAATAGATACTTATACCGATCATAGATAATATTATCTATGATTTCCGATGATCACCAACCACGATACACCACGTAATGACTTCCAAGTTCTAAGATGGACATGATGGAATATGTAAATAACCACAGTATATTATAACAATGATTTATTTATAATAAGTTCTTACATACAACACGTACACAGTATGTCATCACCAGGCGCAGGTTGTGTCTCGATTAACAGCAGTATATTTCCTACTACTAACAACCAACAACTAATTTATACCTATTGAAGTTTATTATTATATTATAATCAAAAATAAAATAAAATACCTTTATGATTGTAAAATATTTAATACATATATAATTATGGTATAAACTTTAGACAACGTTAAAAATCGTTGTAAATACTTATTAAAATTATAGGCTTATAAAATATATAATAATTGTTTTCAAATTAAAAATACTTCATGCAAACAGAAAACATGAAGTGTTACCCGGCGTAAAGTATAGGCAAAATAGGTACATTACTGCAGAGTTAAAATAATATATTGTTTATAATTATTTACATCTTGGATTATAGCAACTATCCGTTCGCCAAGAGAATCAATCATGCAGAAAGTGTAATAAGAAACCCCTAAAATCGCCTGCAGAAAATTAGACTAAAATTGCTAGATTATGACATAAGGTTAAAATTAGGTTTATGACCAAACGCTAAAATTAAAAAATTGACCGTTTCAAATGTTAAAACAAGATTCCACATATCTACATTTTACAATTGACAAAAATATTTATATATTTTCTAACTACAATTTAAATTTATTTTCTATAACTTTATGAGCGTTTGAAAATAGATTTAAAAATGTAACTATGTAACTTAGATTGTAAAGTAGAAGCAGCTTACTATACTTTAGTGTTAAAAGTTTAATTTTGCAAAAAATCATCAAAATCACGAATATTTTCAAATTATTTTGTTCCTATAGTTAAAAAGTTAGGCTCAACTTTTTTTAACAAAGGATTGAAAATTGAAAACAATATTTTTCTCAAGTATATAGATGTATTTATAATTTATAGTATATTATCGGTATGCGTGACAATAGCACTTTAGTCAGTTTCATTTTATCAATTTTTCCAAACATTTATTGAAATTTTTACTGAAAACTTGGATATTTTATAGTTAACAAACAATTAGTCAATAAATTACTACTATACAATAATTAAACTGCAGATATTACCAGCTAGTCTACATTGTGGATAAAGTAATTAACCTGTAGCAAAAATATAAACAATACTCAATGAGATGAACATATATAATACATGTAATGTTTAATAAGTTATATTGGTATTTATTTTTTAATGATTATACAAGGTTAAAAACAATCTAAATAAAAATTGTACCTATCAAAATAATGCTTTTAAAAATATATTTTATGAATAATAAAAAAATAAAATAATTTCATCATTATTTAAATATTTTTATAGCTCCAGTTTTTTCAAATAATTTTATTACATTTATTTATATTGACAATTATTGCTTAATAGAATATAGTTCTCATAAACTCTGTTAAGTAATAATTGTTAATACAAGGTTATTATTCACAAGTAATACAGTAAAATAGTTTTTCTTTTTTTAAATTAAAAATCTTCAACACCTTCATCATATTGTCCTTCAACTGAATCCAAACCCACTTCTTCATAATCTTTTTCTAAAGCTGCTAAATCTTCTCTGGCTTCAGAAAATTCTCCTTCTTCCATGCCTTCACCGACATACCAATGAACAAAAGCTCTTTTAGCATACATCAAGTCGAACTTATGATCCAAACGAGCCCATGCTTCAGCAATAGCTGTAGTATTGGACAACATACAAACAGCCCGCTGTACTTTTGCTAAATCGCCTCCTGGTACTACTGTTGGCGGTTGATAATTGATGCCTACTTTAAATCCAGTTGGACACCAGTCTACAAACTGTATTGAACGTTTAGTTTTTATCGCAGCAATTGCAGCATTTACGTCTTTTGGCACAACATCACCTCTATACAGCATACAACACGCCATGTATTTACCATGTCGAGGATCACACTTAACCATCTGATTCGCAGGTTCAAAACAAGCATTAGTGATTTCACCAACAGACAATTGTTCATGATAAGCTTTCTCAGCTGATATGACTGGTGCATATGTAACTAAAGGAAAATGTATTCTTGGATACGGCACCAAGTTTGTTTGGAATTCAGTCAAGTCAACATTCAAAGCTCCATCAAATCGTAATGAAGCTGTGATAGATGACACTATCTGTCCTATGAGACGGTTCAAATTGGTGTAAGAAGGACGTTCAATATCCAAATTCCGGCGACAGATATCATATATTGCTTCATTATCCACCATAAAAGCACAATCAGAATGTTCAAGAGTTGTATGAGTAGTTAAAATAGAATTGTATGGTTCAACCACTGCTGTGGACACCTATAATACAAGTTTTGTAAGTTAATAATAAATAAGAATTAATGTGCATGTTTATATCTAAAATGCTCACTTGTGGCGCAGGATAAATGGCAAATTCAAGTTTACTTTTTTTGCCGTAATCAACACTTAAACGTTCCATGAGTAATGATGCAAAACCAGAACCAGTCCCTCCACCAAATGAATGAAATATTAAAAACCCTTGGAGACCAGTACATTGATCGGCAAGTTTTCGAATACGATCCAGTACAACATCAACAATTTCCTTGCCAATAGTATAATGACCACGAGCATAATTGTTGGCTGCATCTTCTTTGCCTGTTATCAATTGTTCAGGATGAAAAAGTTGTTTGTATGTGCCCGTGCGTACTTCATCTACAAATAATAATTGTGATTTAGATTAAAATCAAATATTTAAAGTGTTTATGTTAAATTATTATATAATGATATATATATTACCAACAACAGTGGGTTCCAAGTCAACAAACACAGCTCTTGGTACATGTTTACCATAACCAGTTTCACTAAAAAAAGTATTGAAACTGTCATCACCATTGGCTTTATCGGATGGCATTTGACCATCAGGTTGGATTCCGTGTTCTAAGCAATACAGTTCCCAGCAAGCATTACCAATTTGAACTCCTGCTTGACCAACGTGCACAGAGATACACTCACGCTAAAATCAAAATATTTGTTAAATTTATCATTCTAATTGATGAAATATTACTAAAACAATCTAAATCCTAACAAAATTCACTTATTTAATACTAATATTGTTTTGAATTTTAAGGAAGTGGGAGTAGAGTGCAGTGACGTAGCCAGGGGGGGGGGGCTGAGAGGCTGCAGCCCACCCACCGAAATGTTAAGAAAATTAAAAAATCATTTTTATGGTCTATGATAGTCGCTCAAAAAGTTCGGTAAAAGTTGATCAGCCTCCCTCCCCCGAAAAAAATTCTCGCTACGCCACTGGTAGAGTGGTTGGTTTTAGTATCTTACTTTAGCGCATTTAAAATATTTATGTATAGAAAAACTTAACACAGTGAGTGGTTTGACCCTAGGTTTCTAGAGTCACAAAGCCAATTTTTTTAGGTGTAGTGTAGTTTGAAAATTCACTAATTAATTATTAGTCTTGTTTTTATAGATTTGTATACTAAAATACTAAATATACAATACCTATTGAATGTTCCTAATATGGCCCCAGAAGTACCTAAATATAATATTAATATTTTCATAATATAATAGAATGAATAATATAATTATATCACAGTACTTCAATAAAAATAAAACTTGAGATGTCAGAATTGTAAAATGTAATATTTTCCACCACTTTTTAGATCATTGTGGCCTATTATAAAGTATGAACAATTAAATCACTAAATAAGAGATGAAAAAAAACATGGTTTGATGGCAACTTTATGATACGCATATCCTTTGTCTCGCCAACCATCATACAAAGCTGTATTTAGTTCACCGCTTTTCGTTGGTTGTCATGATTAATATAATATATATATATCCAAAGTGCATTACGAGGCGAACTGGATACAATGAACTTCGCAAACTCCGAAGGTATTCAGTTCGTTGCCATCATACAATGTTATTTTATCATGATTCATGGGTATAACCTATGTCCTACACTGCATATTATAATATAATTCAATAATTCATACATAATAATTTGAATATCAGTCTTGTAAATAAGCATAAATAATATTATAATTATTTTGTATTTTTCAATTAAGATGATATTATAAACATCCTTTTATTTCTAATTCAAATTATTTGACGAGCAGCCTGGATAGTCACTTGCTCAAAGTCAATTTCTTACGAATGCTGAAGATCAAAGAATGCGGACGGTCAAAATAACCTTGGGATTGTTTAATGTTTAATACTCTATACCTGCCAAACTATTATTGGAATTTTTAAAAACCTGCAATAGTTTTACCAAATCCCAATTAATATAATACCATAAAATTCAATATTCAATATTCAAAATTCAAAATCTATATAACAACTACCTAGCACAATAATTTTATATTTAAACAATGTTAACTAAACTAAAACTACAAAAGATTATATTATATAACATGCTGTTTTATTAATTGCGCTATTTATCAAAGCTGTGAACCGATAACATGCACACGATCACGATGATGATCGGAAATACCATAATATAGACAAAAATAAATATTTTCACCAATTAAAAGTAATAATTTATTTATATTGGAAAACGGGACGCTCCCAATTCACACGATATTTATTATTTAATCGAATACATTAATAACATAATTAACATAATACATATTAAGATTTAACATTAATTATTAAAGATGCATAAAAATTAATTAACTATAGAAGATTTCAAAATACTAAGAAATTACGGGTGCATCCCTCATCATACAAATTAAATAATATTAGGTACTATATTGTAATGTACAAATTATAATAATATTAAAAAAATTTAATTTTTCTGTGACTACATGTCACGCAGTAAATAATATGTAATGTATTAAATATGTTAATGTAACCTATTAGACGTCTAATATACCAGTCCATCATAATTCATAGACGTAAGACGTACATGTGATGTAAATGCAAATGTAGACATCTATAATAAGTTTAAGGTTTATTTTATATGTGCCACTTTTTTAGTCTATTTGAAGGCCCAATTTATCATAGGTAATATATAATGTACCTAGTATATCAATTATCAAATTCGACTCTTTTATAATATCTATACATAGACATTAATTAAATGTATTAAGTAGACCTAGCATAGTACCAAAATAGGCAAATATATATATTTTTTTTATTTTAAAAAGTATATTTACAATCTATATAACAGACAAAGTATAATGAGTAAGTGTGGTGACATAAGAAAATTAGACATAAAATAACATTAATAGGAAGGCTCCTAGCAGTGCCACCTGACCAGAAATTAGGTTGATTTTTTTTTATAGTTTTGCGTTAGTTAAAAATAGGCAAATATAAAATTATTTTTCTTAAAAAGTATGTAGGTACCTAACCAAAAAAAAAATAAAAAAATACTCCATATTATTATGAATATTGTATAGTGTTGTTTTTGGTTATATTATATTGAAAGATATTAAAACATACATTTTAGTAAATTTTTAACATATTTAATAAATAAAATAATAATAACAATTCTGTTAATCCAAAATCCAACACCAAATAATCATCTCTATCAAACAATAAAAAAATAAGTTGCAAGAAGCTTGGAATATAAATAATTTAATAATAAATTACAAAATTAGGAACCTAGTAAAATTATTTGGTATTATAACCTAACTAATAGGTATATAATACTGATCATTATTCATTATTAACCAACGATTATTAACCGCATGGAAATAACATAGTATTCACGTTCCGGTTATAATATAATAATAAAAATATATCAACAATAAGCCAGTTTTATAGTTGAACAAAAAAAAAATAAATAAATCTTACCATGTTTACTATGAACGGCGATGATGTTACAAAATAATATAATTCGTCTTTTTGTTATAGGTATAATAGTATAACAATATTAATATTATGTTCGTTGAGCGTTCGAGGCGAGAATGTACGACGTAGTGGAGTGGAGTAGGTACTTCCTTTGACGAACGACTACAGACGAGTGTAAACTGCGAATAGTGTAAATAGTGTATTATGAGTGACTAAAGTGTAAACTGAATACCGGAAATCGGAATACGATAGACGAAACAAGAAAGCACGAATGCCAGTCGAATCAGTATGGCACGAAACACGTAATGTCGGTCGGAGTATAATGAGTATAAAGACCGGAGTTTTCGTTTGGGGCAGTCCAGCCGGACCCGAAAATAACCCGTATAGCCGTATGGGTAAATATGTCTAAAACGTGGAACCAAATATAGCCAATTCGGAGTTCAGACTTTCAGACGCCAATACACGATAAGCCGACTACAAACGAGGATATTTTAATATTATAATATTAGCTTGACTGCCATGACCGACAACCGTATTAAACGGACCATAGTCCCATACACGATCATTATTAAATCAATTCAAGATTGTGACATACAATTAATATCACCCGTGATTGCACTGTCGCATGATCATAGGTGAAAATGTATTAAAATTTCAGAGGGGCACTAACATATTATTTTATAACATCAATGTGATCGTTGGCTTCTAATCTTCGATCCCGGGCAATTGTTAAAAAGCTGTCCGTTTTTTGGTGGGGAGGGATATGCTATATGGCATATTTGTGGATAATCCCGCCACTCATAATTTTTACATTTAAATCATGACCTTGACTTTTTATTATTATTTAGATGTGTTTTTGAAGAAAAGTTTATACAATATTTAAATTTTAAATGCGTTGATAAGATTTCCCAATTTCAAATTCTGAAAGATCGGTTCTTCCGTCTTCGATGTAGAAATTTGGAATTGGATAGTCCGGAGCGTCGAGTGGGAAGAAACGAATTTAATTTGAAATGCTGTCAGTCGTGCTACCTCGAGCAATATTATACTTCTGGGCTCTGGGTTAGTTCCTTTTTTCAAACGGTGGTGATTTTTTATCGGCAATTCTATGCATTTGTTATGTACATTGTACAGAGTACAAATTATTTATTTGGTATGAATTTTTTTCTTGAATGATTGTGACAATCCTTTTAAGACGTATTTTTTTTTTATCATTGAAAAAGTAAAACCAATACGAATGATTTATTTATAATTTATCATCGCTCTAGGCTCTAACTGGAGAATGTAAACAAGCCGAACCCGTTGCAGATATAATTGTATAGATGGCGCTACTAATTTATAAATAATTTAAATTAAATGTTACATAACATTACAATATTATGTTCAAACTTCAGATGATCTATCCATATATTATAATAAAAATTTTATAATATATTTTTTAGTTCTTAATTCATTATTGTGCATATTTGTCTACAGTAAATTTGTTGTTTTACATTTAAAGGATGGTACAAAAATATTAAATTTATTAATAATATTAAAAATATAATATTTAATATTTATTTATTTAATGTACTTATAATAATTAAGAGCTACATTAATTATTCCATAATAAGTACTATTTTTTTTTATAAAATAGTTTATGCAGTGGCATCATTTGGGAGAGGGGGTAGAGAGAGCATTTGCCCCCTCTTGTTTTTAGCTGGCCGGGTATATGCTAGTTTTATGCCTTCATATAGTAGCTAATAACAAATATGTATTAATTATTTAATCATTATTACTCTCAAAAAATGGTTTATGCCTATGATACATTGATACTATAAGTATAAAATTATGTTATAAGGCTATTTGCATTGAGATAAAAATTCAATTATTGTTATGTAATTGTTAGCGAGCGGTTTTTTTCAGTTTTACTATGAGCCAGGTAAACATTTTGCCCCCCCCCCCCCCACTTTCAAAACTGAAATTACGCCACTGAGTTTATGCTAGAAACTAATAAAATAATGAAAAAACCTAATAACTTGACTTAAGCTTAAAGTATGCTTCGAGGTATTTCTTTGAGCCTCAACCCTAAAATCCATATACATTGAAAATATTTTACAACAAAATACCTGCTCCCCATATTTTGCTTATAATTATTGAAGATTCAATAATACTTAAAATTTAAATATTATAAAAATACAATAGGTACGTATTAGCAGTTTTAGATTCAGTGCAGCGCTAAGATTCTAGGAACATATATTTTTTAGTTCCCTACTTTCCTAGGTACAAAACAGGCAAGAAACCAACAGAAGTTGCCCCAAGAGTAATGACAACCTGTAGAAAAAAATATTCATAAATGCATCAGAGCTCCCTTCTGATACATTTATTTAGCTAATGGATATACCATTGCTTTAAAATTTATTTACTAATTTTATTATTATTATCACACCAATTTAACATTATTTATTTATCATTTGACATATTATTATATAAACCCAATTTTTAACATAACATGTAATTCATGAGAAAGTAATTAATAATTATTATTTATTGACCATCTAGCTGAAAGTGCCTGAAGTGACCATACAAGACAATTGTGCAAACAGCTGTTCTCTGTTAGTCTGAATGGTGTTATTTGTACATTAATAAAATATATTATTGTTATTGAATAATAATATATATTTTATTAAATGGTGGTTTAGTACCTACCTTTCAAAACATTAGGCCATGCGAAGATTACTCCTACTAGCTACCTATGTTTTTTGACACTGCTCAAAATTGAACATTTCATTTTGTTTAAAAATGAAATAGGTAAATACTATAAATATACATTTTTCAATGTGAACATAATTTAGCTTAGATTTAAAATTTTAACACATTATTTAGTTTTAATGACATTGTTAACCATTAGTAGTCAATCAAATACAAAATATAAAAGAAAATTTTTTCTTAAATAAATAGTAATAAATATTCTATGATCAAATCAAGTTTAATAAAAACATTTATCAATTTATAAATATTAAATCCACCTTGTAATATACCTACATAAATACTATTATGTAAATACAGTGAAGACATTTTATTAAAATTTGTTGATTTCATGAATAACACCACCTATTGAAAAATATTATTAAACAATGCAAATTTAGTTCTTCATCACAAATATTTTTCAATATGAAATCAATCAATTTATTAAAAAATATATTTATTTTTATTTCAAGCAATTACATGGTTTATACACCATTTAATTCTATATAGTTTAATATTTAATGTATAATATTTATAAACATAATTATTCATCTAAATGTAGTCACTATTCAACAAAATATCAAAACATGAGTATAATATATCAAAAAAGATGAAGCATTAATAACATTAATATTTATGATTCATCAAATTCACTTTCTTTATTTGCTTGTTTTTTTTGTTCTTCATAAAGAAAATTCATAAGCATTTCATTTTCTTTCATCTTTGCTTCTACTCTATATGGTTTTATCACGTATCTAACAACCACCATCGATGCAAACCAACTTAAGCCAACAAACGCTAGTATTTTGTTGAAATTACCAGTGAGTAAACCACCGGGTTGTACAGTTTTTGCGTTCTTATTCATTCTTCCTGGAAAAAAATATATAAATACATACAATTACACAATGAACAGTTGAATACACAAAATTAACACTTCTAACAAATTAGCAGAAAGCGAAAAACAAACAAATATTATGACCATCGAAACGACAACCAAATGGATCAAACAATTGTATTATATTATTAAACGTGAGACTGCAATTTATCAGTACATTTAATATTTCAAATAAGAGAAATTTCCGTTTTTACGAAACAAACCACATGCCCAAATACGGCGGTGGCTAATGGATAGGGTTCGAAAATGACAAACCTTAATTTTCTTGGGACGTTCGGTGTCCAACGATTCGAAGAATGGCTTCCAAACGTACACTCCGCCAAACACTCCTATTGCAGAAGCAAGAATAATTTTTGTCCAGGACAAGCTCCGTTGTCTAGTTATGTATTTACGCATCGTATCAGTAGACCATAATATTCTGTAGGACGTATTATTATGTCGGTTCGTACGGGCACGGTACACTATCAATACTCGGCCCGTTCCCGTATGGTAGGGGGGCGGCGTGATAATCCGTTATCAGTTGCTTATTGGCGACCGTCAAACCGTTCGCAACATCAAGTAAGTGTTGATAACAAATTAATAGATAATGAAGTCTTTTACACGGGATGGACGTTTATGCTACCATGGTCCACGCCAGGCTGTAGATGGAAGTTTATCAACAGCTATAGATCATAATATATTGGTACATGATATTGGTATATGATCCAACCGATCCAAGCTGTAGATACTAGATAGGCTTCTATATACAAACAATCGTGGGACTCATCGCCTATGATAACAACGGACGGTGATCGCAATAAAAATAATAATTCAAATCGCCAATCGCCCAGGTAGTGGTCGGTGGGGCATTTTCTGGAGTCTGGAGTCTAAAGACCGTTGTAACTTGTAAACAAGAATAATATAATAGTAATGATAATAATCAAGGCAGGAAATCTCGGACTAGGACCTGTCGGCAATCCGACGTGGGGGATTAGTGCCTACCGGATTTATTATTATTATTATTTATTAATACCATACCTACGTGCGAGGTATGTACTTATATATTATATTATGTATAAACAATATATTATTATTATTATGCGCGCGAGCGGCTACCGAGTCGACGGACGGACCACTACAACAACTCGTTTCGCTGGTGGAAGGGGCAAAATAAAATAACAAACAAGTGTTATTTTTTTCCGTTTAATCTTAGCTGATAGGCGGGATGCCGGAGCGGCGGTCCGCCGGTGGTTTTAATACGTCCGTTCAAGGTCACCGGCTCGCGCAGAGTGGTTAAGGTTAAGCGTTTACACGGACATGATGTCATAGTGACATCACTCACGTCGTAACCAGTTGTGTTGTTACTTGTTTGAGCGAGCACCGTGTGCGTACGCCGTGTCTCGCCCGT